CGCGCACCCACCGCCTCCTGCTGGGGGCGCAGGGGTGCACCGGGCCGCAGCAGGCGGCCCAGAGTGCAGGAGAGGGCTGGGGATCTGTCGTGGAGCTCAGCGGGACCCACCAGACCGAGTCACCGCGGGGCTGGGCGACATCCTGAAGTGTTGGTGTTTTCGTAGAAGCTGGGTCAGTGCAACCTAACCCTGAGCCCTCCCAGATTAGGGATAGGTTGGGGTTGGGACCCCCTACAGGGTTCTGGGGCTATGAACCTCTTTACCCCCGTACAGTTTTTCTTTCTTTGTAAAAATGCTTTTAAGTGCCAGGCACGGTGGCCCACACTTTCTGTTTTGTTTTGTTTTTGTTTTGTCTTTTTGAGACAGAGTCTTGCTATGCAGTTCAGGCTGGCCTTGGGCTCACTTTGTAGCTCAGGCTGGCCTCGAACTCGCAACGATCCTGCTGGCTCAGCCTCCGGAGTGCTGGGATTACAGGCGTGCGCTGCCACACCCGGCGTCCCACGCTTTCTGGAGGCTAAGGCGGGAGGATTACAGCAAGTTCAAGACCAGCCTAGGCTACATAGTGAGTTCTACGGCTTGCCTGAGCTACACAGCAATATTTTGTCTCAAAAAACCCAACCAAACCAAAACGACAACAGAAACTTTAAAGACTGAGGTAAAACTTACAGTGAAGTTCACAAAATCCACGAGGTTTAAATGTACATTCCTAGTGATTATTTAGCTCATGTGTTATTTAGCTGCTTGTGTGTATATATGTATACAGTACTTACATAATCACAACTACCACCGTGTATGTGTGTGTTATCACAACTTCCGCTGGACGTTCAATGCACAAACTTCCTGTGGGCCCCAGTGTGCCTGGCACCTTCTCACCCTTTTGTAAGAGAAGAGAGGCCGACTCGTGTTAGTGCCGGGATGGGGATTATGCGCTCCAGGAATTCCTTGACAGAGCTGTGCCACCAGAAGATGATAAAGGCGGGCAGCGGCTGTGTGATCCACCTCCAGGGGCCACAGTTCGGGGATGTACAGTGGGAAGCATTGTCCCCGTGTCTGAATATACCGTACCAACTCAGAGGCCCCAGAGAGCGCTGGATCCAGGCTGTCTGGTCAGGACAGCCGCGCTCTAGCACAGTCAGGCACTGAGCTGACCGGGAGCATCGGGGCACTGCGCTGATGCTGGCCCAGTTTTGCGGGTCTGGCAGTGGGATGAGGGCGACTCCGACCACAGAACAAAGGGAGGCAAGTGGAGGCACAGGTCTTTCCTTCTCTTGGTGGGTAGCCCGGCCTTGTCCCACCCAGGGCCTTCCTGCCCCAGGTCTGGGAAGTGGCGCTCAGGGGGAAATCAAGTGATCCAGCAGGACGTGACCCAGAGTGAGGCAGCTGGCAGATGTGGTCTAGCGCCTGAGTCAGCGTGCGCCGCGGACACGCGGAAGAAGTCCTTCCGCCCATTCATCGCCGCATCCTCAGCTCCGCCGTGCCTGCCTACCCAGGTCCCTGTCCCTTTAGGGGTAGGGAGCTTGCCACCCCCTCCTCCTCCGAGCGTGAAGGCCTGGATGGCCGAGGAATAAGGGACTTTGCAGGGAGCTGGCCTCGCCGGGAGGCGGAGGAGGAAACCGCTCCCTGGGGAAGTAAGGACAGTCCCGGCCTGAGGTGTCCGGTGAGCCTGCTGTGGAACCTGTGGGCCTAGCACTGGTGGCAGGGGAGGACGGGGGAGCCTGGTTGGGGAAGGCTGGCCTGGAAGGAGCTGAGCCAACGGCGCTAGGCCAGGGTGGAAAGTATGTGTGTGATCTCACTTGGAAGGTGGCTTCAGGCCAGTCAGGGCTGCCTTCCTTCCAGGCCCTGGCTGCTTGGCCCTGTGCAGGCTGCCTGTGGGTCTCCCTGCTCTGAGACTGAGGAGGAAAGGCAGAAAGCCCAGGGGTAGGCCTAGCTATGCAGAGTGATCTCCTAAAGGAGGTGCGTCCAGACTTGGGGGTGGGTAGGAAGGAGGGACGGGGGCTCCTGCGCAATGGAGCAGCTTTGTCTGGGGTTTCTTGGGGGCCTTAGAGAATGGTCACCACTGGCAAGGCCTCCACCTCCCCCAGGCCCTGGAGCCCAGCTGTTCAGTGCCCCCCCTTCCCTGTCCCTGGCACGGTCTCTTCCAGCCCTTCAGGCTTGAGTCTTGGTGGCCCCTTCTTTCTCTCAGTGCCTGCTCCTGCCCCTAAGAAGGATGCGGGGTGGCATGGCAGCCCCTTGAGGAAGAATCGTCACCCCACACAGATGCTGCTGCATGGCGCAGTGAGCAAGCCCACAGATGCTGACAGACACAGGACATGATACCACAAAGACACCAGCTACACAGGGGCAACACTGGAGGAGATGACTGGGACACACTGCCAGAACCTGCTTGTGCAGGGAAAAGGAAAAAAATCAGGCCAGGCGTGGTGGCACACGCCTGAATCCAGCACTCTGGCAGCTGAGGCAGGAGGATCCTTTTGAGTTTGAGAGGAGCCTAGGCTACAAAGTGAGCTCAAAGCCAGCCTGAACTGCATAGCAAAACCGTCTCAAGGAAAAAAAAAAAAAAAGAAAGAGATCAGACCTGGGCTTTAAATGTGAACTTATAACTAAGATATATCATGTACCGGGACAAATTCCTTACAGTGAATGTGATCATTATGCAGATCTAAATTGTACCAATAAACTTAATTTTAATAAAAAAAATTTGGATTTGTAAGCTTTGAGCTTGAATAAGTCATGTATCTTTCTGGGCCTCAGTTTCCTCATCTATAAAATGGGGGGCATGTTAGTGCTTGTGTCGTTTCATGTTGTGGGGACCTCAGCAGATGCCAGCTTCCCCTTTGCTGGAAGAGGAAGGCGTATAGAGAGGAGAGGAGGACTAGGAAGGCCATCAGGTTGTGGGCAGAGTGGCCTGAGGTGGACAGGGAGGCATAGCGGGGCCGGCCAGATTGTGTGGGTGCCCAGGCCTCTCTCCTCCAGAGGGTGCGGCTCCTCTTGCATCTCCTGGCCCCAACCCGCTGACCCAGCGCCTGGCTGGCAGCCCTGGAGGCATGGGCCCAGCTGGTGGCAGGAGCCCTGGACAGGGTGAGGCAGCAGTAAGGGAACCCCTCCAGTGTGTAGGGTTCAGTGGTGGGCTGGATACGGCCCCGTCCTGGCCCTGGTCCCCAAGCCAGCACCTCCTTAGACCTGGGTCCCTGGGTTCTGCCCAAACCTCGCAGATTCCCCTTGGCTCCCTGCTGGCTGCTCCAGCTCGCATGTGCTGCTTTCGAATAAAGGAACTTGGAACCGTGGAAACTGGGTCAGGCCCAATGGACAGATGGGCCAGCAAAAGCAGTTTGCCGGCCCTGGGGAGCCACAGGGCCTTTTGGCTCCCCACATCCCAGCCTGGCCAGGGGCTCACTGCAGTGGTGCCTTGTGATCACCAAGGCGCCTCCCAGGGTCATGGGGCGCTTTGGTGGGGTAGGTCAGACAGGCCCAACACGTCAGAAGCGTAGGACCCTGGAGCCTCCACCCTAAAAAGAAGTGGGGGGCGGGCTGGGGATCTAACCTGAGGCCCAGACAGCCGGGCAAGTGCTCTGGCACTGAGCTACATCTGCAGCCCTGCACCCTACGATGGTTTCTGAAGCCCATCTCCCACCTCTTCCCCCTTTGTCTCTGGTCTTCCATTCCCTTCTCTCCCCCTTGGCTTCGGAGAGCATCTTGTGATTCCAGAATCACGGCCAAACAATTTCCTCGTGATGGGGAAACCGCACTCCAGCCCCGGGAGCCCGAGGTTCCCCCTCCTCCTCCCTCTGGCAGCTCCCCTCCAGCTCCTCCACTGGCTCCAGCTGTGTTTTGCAGAACTCCCACTGGATAACATCTGTAATTGCCTCCAGATGTGGACCACAAAAACACAAAGGGACATGAGCTCATCTTTGAGTTCCTTGCCGCACGCACCCCCATACCCCTGAGTTCCCCATGCCGCCTTTTCAAGGTCCCTGTCCCCTCTGCTGAGGGCGGTGAGGAGGTGGTATCCAGCTCCACGGAGACGAACCAGTCCTACCAAACAGCTGTTGGCAGGGAAGGTGCAGAAGGCCAGGGCTGGGGTCAGGGTTCCTGGCTGGCAGGAAGGTGGGATACCCCTTCTGCCAAAGCAATCACACCCACCAGCCCTGAATAGCAGCTGGGTGGATGACTGGTGTGGGTGGGGCCAGGGCTCCTGAGGCAGGCTGTGAAGGACCTGGGCTGGAGCCCGGGTGGGCTGGGCTGGGCTGGGGCAGGAAGGGAAGGGGGGAGCAGAAAGGGGGCTGCTCTTCTCCAGCTGAGCTGACTCAGCAACCAAGCCCATTCCACCCTTGGGCTGGCTTTTGGAGGAAGGGTGGGTCAGTAGCCTGGGAACCCTGTCTAGGGCAGCAGCTCCTAAGGAAAGAGGAAACAAAGCTTTGTTATTCTGCCCTTCCAACCTGGCCACCCCGCTTCTCCTGGGCAGCTGCAGGGAGACCACTGTTTGCCAGGGGCAGGGCCCTGCTAACCAGCTGCAGGGCAATCTCTCTGTCTCTGCCATCTTCCTGCTCCAGCAGTGGAGCCCCAGACCCAGAAGAGCCTTCTTAGGTCCTGAGGCTGCCGTGAGCCGAAGACGGAACCCACACCCTGGCCAAGGCAGAGGTGTCGGGAAAAGATGTTGGGGAACTGAGGGGTTGTGGCCAGATCACATGGCGGGGTAAGGCAATTTGGGAAGATTTTCCAAGTGGCCTCAGCTTGACCACTTCCTCTGTCTTTTCGCAGCCCTGGTGTAAAGGCAGCCTTTTAAGGCAGGTTGGGAGTGCACAGCTGGACTGTGGCCCCAGCCCCCGGTAGCGCATCTGCTCCCCAGCTCTGGCCCTGAATCCCCTTTGTAGTCCACCATGAACAAAGAGTCTCCCATGAAAACTCCCACACCCACCTCACGGAAAACTGTTCGTGAGGCCAGCGCTCCCTCCCAGCCCCCAGCCACATCCCAGCCCGCGCAGAACAGAACTGCAGCCACACCGAGAACGTGAGACAGTTTATTCTTCGTGGAGAGGTTGAACAAAGTCAAAAATGTCCTTAGAGGGCACTGACCCCGCCCCGCCCCGCAGGTTCCTGGGGTCAGGTGCCTCTGCCTCCCTCCCTCCCACACCCCCATGCCCCTTAACAAAAAGGAACGACTTGAATGGAGTTCATATATAATAATTATAATAAAAATATACATTAAACAAGACAAAAAAACAAACAAGACAGAAATTTAGCCGAACTTCCAGCACCGTTCACCCCATTTCCCTACCCCACACCCCACCCCCAACACCCCTCTCCTCTCCGCCAACACAGGGTCACACTCTCCCAAGTCCCAGGTACCATGGCCACCTGTGGTGGCCAAAGGGGACTCCACGCCATGGGCTGGGGGGCAGAGCCCGGGTGGGGCTGAGGAGAGCAGTGAAGGCCGGCCCACCTCAGAGTACCACTGGGCTGAGGCCGCCCGCCCGCCCGCAGGCCCAGAGTGTCCTCGGGCCTCTCAGTAAGGCCCCTGTCCCCAGCCCCGGCATGCCTGCCTCCTTGGCTCCCGCCTCTGGGCCTCCCGCCCACCCCCATGCTGTCTAGTCAGCAAGAAGGGGACCAAGAGGAGCCAGGTGTGTTCTTCAGGGCCCTTCCTGAGAGCTGCAGTGACACGCACCCTCCCCTGGGCACCTCGGCCCAGCCCACGGCCTGCTCAGCCTGGCCCGGCCCCACCGCTGCCGCCCCCCTTCCATCCCTTCCACCCCCTCTGACGGCTCTGCCTCAGACCTGGCCCCAGAGGCCTGCCATTTCAGCGAGGCTCTGTCTGTGGCCACTGGGCCAACGCCCCAGGCTGCAGCCCTGGTCCTCCACTTGGCCCACTCCAGCCTGGGCCATATGCCTGGCTTCAGCTCTTCCAACCTCGAAGTCCCCATCCAAGGCTAACATCTGAGTGGGGCTGGGGCTGCCAAGGGGTTTACGGCCCAGCTCGTCCTTAATGGCTCAGGCTCCTTCTGCAGACGCTCTCCAGGGCCGGGTGGGCAGAGGCAGATCTTCATGGAGAGGAAAGCGACTGCTCAGGCCACCAAGGCCCTTTTTGAGATTTCCTCCTCGGTCTTAAGATGGCGGAGTAGTCCTTTCCCCCATCTCCCTCAGGGTCTCTGCCACCAAGATTGGATTCCTTTTAGCAAACAGTGGTGGGAGGCTGCTGACTGTGTGCACCAGGGCCTGCAGGGCTGGAGTGCTCAGAGCCTCCTGAGGTCAGAGTCCAGAGGTGTAAGGTAAGTCGGGGGATAGGGAAGGAGCAGATGACCCCATTCGACCTTCACCAGTGAGGCCTGAGGGTCCTGCCTTCAAGTGCAGAGCCCCCAGACATTCAGATGGGGCTGGACACACACAAAGCTACGGGGCTCCCCGAGTGCCCGAGGCTGGAAGGGGCGCCTTCCTGCTCAGCCTCAGGGGCCCCACGCAGGGAAGAAGCAACACCAGGGCAAGGGTGGGAGAGGCCGGGAAGAGACGGAAGGCAGGGGGGACAGGGCTCAGGACGGGTAGGAGCTGCCCACCCACCACCACCTGCTGCGGCGGCCTTCAGGGCAAAGTCCTCGTGGTACGAGTGGGTGGGCGGGCGGTGGGGGTCAGACCTTGTCCAGCAGGGAACGCTGGCAGTACAGCAGTCGCTTGGGGGTGCCGTGGCGTCTGAAGAAGAAGACTGCGAGGCCCACTGCCAGCACCAGGAGCAGCAGCAACACTGGCAGCACCACAGCGGCCGCATTCACGGCTGCGCCGCCCTCCTCCTCCACCTCGATGATGATCACTTCCGTCTCCTCAGTCCCCTCGTCTGGCCTGCCCCCTGACGACGGGCAGCCCATCCAGTCCCGCAGCGCCGACTTGGGGTAGCCCGGCTCCACCTTCAGTTTCTGGTTGTTGAATTTCCAGTATTTATTCCCCTTGTAGAAGTACGTGAAGACTGGAGGGACCAGCGCAAGGTGGTGAGAACACATGAGATGAAGTGGGGTCCGGAAAGGCCCCGGGAGAGGTGAGCGGAAGGAGCATGGTTAGTGTGAGGGCCGGCCGGGCTCACGGTGGCCAGCCCTCCCTCCCTCCCTCCCGTCTGTCCCCCCTCCCTTCTCTGCGTCCTTCCGCCCTTCCCTTTCTTCCCTCCCTTCCCTTCCATCTTTTCTTTCTTCTTTTCCCCCTCATACTGGGAATTGAACCCAGGGCCTCGGCATTGAGCTATACACCTAAGCCTTTTAAAAATTTTATTTAGAGTCAAGGTCTTGCTAAGTTGCCCAGGCTGGTCTTGAACTTTCAATCCTCCTGCCTCAGCATCGCAGAGTGCTGGGACTGCAAGTGTGTACCATTGTGCCCAGCTCACCCTGGTCTTTCTAAACATCACTTCCCTCAGCTGTGACATGGGGGTGATCATAACACCAGGGTGGAAGAGTGGCCGGGAGGAAGGCGTAGGGTGTGTCAGAACCCCGAGCCCAGGCCTGGCATGTGGGAAGTGCTCCGTCCTCACTGCTCCACTCTGCTCTTCCTGCACTCCGCCCCCTTCCTCGCTGACACTGTCCCTCGCCCCACTCACCTTCATCGCTGCCCATGAACGACCCTCTGGGAGAGTCGGGGATCCCTTCCCAGACTTTGATGTTTTTGGGATACTCGCTGTCCACTGCCCGGAACTCCTCATTGAAGCGGTAGTACCTGGGGGTGGGGTTGGACACCAAGCATGTCCTCATAGGGCAGCAGGACCCAAGGTGACAGCCCCGCTAGCAAGGTCGGTGCGGCCCAGGGTCAGGAACAGGCTCGGGTAATGATGGCCTGCAGCTGGAAGTGGCGGAAGGAGGAGGTGGGAGGGAGGGCCTGGGCTGCAAGGAGCCACCAGCGGCCCTTAATGACAGTGCCTGGCTGCTGGACTGGAGGCGCAGCACTGGGGCAGGACGCGTCAAATGACCAGGTCTCAAATGATGACCCGGTCACGTCCCACTCAGGCCAGGCGACACCCAGGGCGGCTGCCAGTTGCTAGGCAACAGTGAAGGTGCAGCCAGGTTCTTCTCTGGGGAAACATCTCAAAGGGGAAAGTGGGCCCTCCTCCAGAATTTGGGGGTGCTAGTGATGGTGTCTCTGAGGAGAGGGGCCTGGGGTTAAGGGCTGAGGTCTCACTTGTTTCCCCGGAAGAAGTAGGTCTTTCCGTTGGGCATCCAGAAGAGCGCGGCATCAATCCTGTCAGTTGGCAGCCCTCGGCCCAGCTCCTTGATGTGCTTGGGGTAGCCAGGTTCCAGGGAAGCCTCGTCAAACACCCAGTGCTTGTCTCCTGCGGTGGGGAAGGAGGGCAGGCTCTGGGGTCTTTGGAAGAACCCGGTGGACTCAGTTCCTCCAGGGAGGCCTTCCTACTCCCAAAGACTAGGGTGGCCTGCCTGGTTACCTTTGAAGAAGACAAATTTGCCGTCCTTCCTCTCGTAGGCAGTGTTGATGGAGGCAGGCAGGCCCCTCCAGAACTGGCCAATGGGCATCGGGTATCCATCCATCACTTGGTTATTCCTCACTCGCCAGAACCAGCGCTCCTGGAGGCCAGTCCAAGGGGAAGTGCTCTTCACATCCTGTAGCTTAGTCCTATTCCTCAGCCCCCCACTGCCCCTCACGTTGTAATGGTCAGTCCTCTTGTTGCTGTTTCTGCCCCACCTCTCTGCCATACAGCCCATTCATTCCCGAACCAGTCCACTTCTTCCTCTCACCTTGAAAACAAACATCTCCCCTCGGAGCATGGCCACGGTGTCAAAGTTCCCGTCACAGATGTTGGGCCCATAGGTGGGGTTTTTGGGCTTATCAGGGACAGAGGGCCGGGAGGTAGTCCTGGGTTGAGGGGGTATCTTAGTGGGTAGCCCTGGCTCACTCCCTGGGGGATAGAAAAACAGGGGCACCTCAGACTTGGAAGGACAGATGGCCAGAAAGTACCCTAAAAAAAATATGGATGGGGGAATCTGGGGGAGGCTGGGGTCTGGGGGAGGCTGACACAGTCTGCTGAATCGACAGAAAAGGTATGCTCAAAGGTGGGGGTCGATGGAGGCAGGAGCAGGCTGTGTGTGTGTGTGTGTGTGCGCGTGTGTGTGTGTGCGTGTGTGTGCGTGTGTGTACACTGCAGGGCATAAGAGAGGGAAGATGCACAGACCGGAGAGACCAGGAGGGAACAGAATCACAGAAGGAGCAAGTGTGGGCGTGGATGACTCACCGTAGAGTTGCTGGATGCCCCGGCGGTCATCATCAGGCAACACAAAGTTCTCTGTGTCCATCCACTGGTAAAAGGGTGCCATGATGGCCGATGGGTCGTTGGAGTGCTCCAGGCCCAGGGCATGGCCCAGCTCATGCACAGCCACCAGGAAGATGTCGTTCCCTGGAGGGATGGGGACGCTGAGGCAGCGGCCTAGATCCCTTCCCTCAGACTCCCTGCTTCCCACACACAAGCCAGCTGGCCATGTTTTCCACCCAGGGACCAGATCCTCAGGTCCAGATTCCCATTGGCACAGAAGGCGCAAATCTAGGCAGTAACCTAGGTGGCGTGAGAGTGCTCTGGAGCATCCCAGTCCCAGAGAGACTTGTGTTAAGGGAAGGAAAGACTCTGCAGGCCTCAGTGTCTCCCAAGAGCTCGATGTGGTATTTGCTTGGAAAGGTGGATGAGGGTGCTTTGAAGTCTTTGATTGGAAAGTCAGTCAGGCAGTGAGTGAGAAGAGACAAAATAGGATTCTGACTGTTGTTAGACTGGGAGATCTCTGGTCCCCTCTATCCCTGGGATTTTGAAAGGAAAGCAGAGAATCCACAAATGACTGCGGATTCTCCCCAGTGGAGGACCCAGGGCTCTCTCACTCACCATTCAGATCCTCATTCCGGACAGTCCAGGGCTCAGCGGAGTCAAAGTGGGTGTCCCCGCCAATGTTGGGGCCTGGGAAGTAGGCGTGGGCCAGGAAGCCGCCCTCACCATCAAAGGGTGTGCTGTCGCCATGGAAACCCTCCGCAAACAAGATCATGATGTCGGCCTGCTTTTCATGGCCCTCTCGGATGTAGGCATAGGGCACTTCTCGGAAACGCAGTGGTGTGGCACTCTCCCACACGCGGAAGGCCTTGCGAATTGCCTCAAATGTGGCATACTCGCCCACCTTGGGGGTGTAATTCTGGATGCTGAGGTCCAGCCATGAGGGGAGAGGACGGGGTGTGTTAAGATAACAAGGGGCAAAGCTCTCCTTGCCCGCACTCTCCCAGGTCGGACAGCAGCCCAGCCCCCTTTGCCTGACCTGATCCCTACGCATAGTGCCTCAGCCCCAAGATCTGTAAGCTTAGGGGCTCCTCAGGCTTTGGCTCTTAGGCACTGGGGTACATGCCAGGGGGTGCTCCTTTCAGGATCACAGCCCTTGTCCTCCCCACTCCCCAGGATGTTGCCAGGAATGGAGGGGAGAAGTGCAGGGAGTCTCCGCACTCAAAGCTGGTGGGGCGGGGTGCCAGATGGAGAAGGGTCTCTGGCCTACTGGACTCACCAGAAAGTGATCTCATTATGCTGCCACTTAAGGCCCTGGATGGCGTAGCGCTTCCTCCGAACATTGGCCTTGATCTCAGCCCCAAACTTGTCTGGAACACCACAGCGGGGGCGCTTCATGGCCCTGGAGTGGGAGCATGGGGGTCAGTGTCATGTGTGAAGACAAAGGGCTGCAGGGGACAGGGTGGAGCTCTACAGCAGGCCCTGGATCCTAGCTTCTGGCCCCAGCATCAGGGCAGGGCGAGGCTGTGTGTGTGTCAGTTTGAGGAAAGGCCAAGGTTATGAGGTCAGGGTGACTGAGAGGGTCCAGATGGGCATGGGGGAAGAAGCCAGGCATTCGCCTGGCAACATCTCTGGTGCTCAGCATTGCCAGTGGGTGCTGGGCAGAATTCCTAATGGGGTGGAGCACTTACTCCGTGGTGTCTGCATCAGCCTTGCCTGTCACCCGCAGACCGTAGAACCTCTGCATGGCAGCGATGGCAGCTGAGAGGGACTGAGGTGAGCGCTGTGTGTGGGTACGGAGGTCCCCGGGGGGCAGGTAGCCATACTGCTGCAGCCAGGCCTGGAGTGAGAGGGGTGTGGTGTAGAGCACCCCCACTTGGCCAAGGGGGTACATCTGCAGCCCCACAGTCCCTGGCAGGCAGGCACCCTTGGCATGGTGAGGGAAGGGCGATGTGCTCCCAGCCCGCCTCTGGCACTGCGTCTGGAGGAACTCCCAGGCTGCCCTGGCCTAGGCCCCAGAATGGCTTGTGCTGTTGGGGCTGTGAGCACAGACAGGAACGGGCAGCCGTAGCTCCAGATTGGCTGCAGTTTTCTTGAAAACGAGAGCTCTGGTAGTTTAACGGGAGACTTCTATGATCTTTTCAGAGCCAAGATTCCTTCCAGTACTTTTGACTTCTGGATCAGTGTTCTTGCAAATATAGCATGTCCCACCTGGGTATGGCTTGTGCCCTTGATGGGTACAGGGTGGCATCAGGGCTATACTTTCGTGCACAGCATGATGTTCTGGGACAAAGCGGCCACGTCTCCAGGCCCCTCACACTGACTTCTCTTTAGAAAGGAGCAGAGCAAAGGAGCTAGAGCTGAGGCTGGCTGCTGACAGGTGAAACTGGGGCCTTGGGAGGTAGAAGAGGTCTGATCTAGCCATGTCCCCACTCCAGCACCACAAAGCCCACTCAGACTCTCCGGAGAGAGGAGGAGATAAGGGAGGTAGTGAAGACTCAGTGACTGTAGTATTCTATTTCAGGTATGTTGTGAACTGCTCACAACAGGAAGGCTGGAAATTTCCCTAATTAAAGTTAGGTTTTCGGTGTTCTGATTGAAAGGTACACACACTGCAAAGTCCCACGGAGAAGAAAGTCCACCTTTATTGTAAAAACAATGGAGTACTTTCCTAATGCCTCAAAAGTAAAACAACCCAAGATAGATATGGAATACAGAGATACTTGGATTCTCTTATAAGGAGACATGACCTGGACAGCTCTGGTCCCTGGTCCAGATTTGCCTTTTTAAAGGAGTCCAAAGGGGTCGGGGATATAGCTCAATGGCACAAGCACCTGCCTGGCAAGCACAAGGTCCTGAGTTCGACTCACAGTTACCAAAAAAAAAAAAGAGTCCAAAGGAAGTTACAGACTGCCTAGGACAGGGCCTGGGGGGTGAGCAGGAGAGAAGGGTAGGGTGCTGACCCCCTACCCACGGTCTTTAGGATGGCTCTCCAAGCCCGGGTGATGGAGCAATGCTCTTGTACCAGGAAAGGGGGTGATTCAGGAGCAGCTGACTGGGGACCTGAGCCCACAGGGGCAAGAATTGCAACACAGTTTTGGGAAGTGATCCCCCAAGGCTGACAGCAGTTAGGGCTGCAGATATAAACAACCCACCCTTTTCCCCTCCCAAAGGCTCTGAGAGCCCCTCCTCAGGGGTTCAGGGGTGAGTGACGTTTAACCTCTGGCAGACTCTAGGGGAGCCCCTCAGGGTACTCCAGCTCAGAGCTGATCCCCAGGAGCTGTAGGCTTGCCCTGACCTGTGCTCACTGATGGCATTGCCAGTGCCCTCAGGAGAACTGCTACAGCGTGTGCCCAAGTATGCAGGATGCTCCCTTTGTCCCTAGCCTCACCTGTCGGCTAGACACACCCTGGGCTTCTGACCCTTGGGGAGAGCAGCTGTTTCAGGATTGAAAAAGGATAGGACGGCTACCCTTGGGGCTGCAAGTCAGGAAGACTATCGAATGGGAAGACCCTCGCAGAGCCAAGCTGTGGGGAGTGCTCCTAGGGCCGGGTGACAAGTGGGAGGGTGACAGAGAGTTGGGGAGAATCCATGACCTGGAGCTCTGGGATAAATCCCTCTGTGAATCACGAGGTAGGCAGGTCTAAACATTCACACCCACAAGCCCTGCCCCATATCCCGGTAAAGAAAAATGGTGGCTTAGTGTGAACGGGACTTCCCTCAACTTGAGAGTCACAGGCCTGAAGAGGAAGTGCCCCTATCCCTCTCCTCCTGCCAGGCCTGGACAAGCTTTTTTCCCTCCATCTCACAGGGCCGGGCTCGGAGCAAAGCAAGAACCACAGAAACTATGAGGTCGGAACCGCAGAAGAGAGGACTCTTGTGTCTGCGGCTGGGTGGGGGAAGGGCAGGGTGCCAGGCAGGCCAAGAGGAGGAGGAGGAGGAGAGGGGTGTGCTGAGGCTGGGGCAGGGCTGCGGAGGCCCGGTGGGAGGGATCCTGCTGGCTGCGGCCTAGGCCATCCCAGCTTTCCCTCCACACCGGCCTGGAGAAGGAGCAGCTATGCCGGGTTGCACCACTCAGTCGGCTGGCTTCGTCCTGATGAATGGGAAGCAAGAGGTGTCGCTCGCAGCAGTTTAGGGAACACCGCCCACCTGGGAATGCTGGAGCGCGGGGGGTCCGCGGCTGCGCCCGCTGGACCCCAGCCTCGGGGCTGCCCTCCCTGCCTCCCTCCGCTCCCACCCTTCCAGGGCCCAGGGGCAGAACAGTGGTTCTGGCACCCAGAGCCCATGACCCACTTAAGACGGAGCCAGGCCTGCCTGCGGCCCCTCCCCTAGGGGGCCTAGCAGGGCAGGGGAGGAGAAAGAGCCGGCCTGAAGTCGGCAGCGGGCAGCCCAGCCCCGCGGCCGCACTCCTCCGCGCGGCGGGCCCCGCAGGCCGGACGGCGTGTCCGCGCTCCTCGCGAAGTCCTCCCGCAGGCCGGGCCGGGCCAGTCCGCTCCCCTCCCCCGCCGGCCCCTCCTGACCGCGCCCAGGCCCGGCCGGCTGAGTGGGCTGGACGGCCCAAAATAAGAAGCTGATGCTCCCACCTTCACCCCAAAATAAAAGAGTGAGAGGAAAAACTTCCTTAGGCAACTCCCACGCGGCTTCCTCTCGGGCAGCGGCGCGGTCCGGGCAGGGGTGAGGACGGGGGCGCCCCGCGCCGGGCGC